CAAATTGCACTGATAGGCTACTGCCATTGGACATATCGGTGAACAAACCTTGCAAGGACTTCATGAGGAACAAGTTCATTGAGTGGTACTCACTTAAAGTATGTGAAGCCCTTGAAAACACTCAAAACCCTAGCCCTACAATAGACCTTAGGCTTTCTACAATGAAGCCTCTTGGGGCACAATGGCTTAAATTGTTTTATGACTACATGCAAGCCAATCCTGATATAATTAAGAATGGGTTCAGATCAGCAGGAATAACAGATGTAAGTGTTACGTGATTATACATGTACAAGCATACAAATCTGTACATGTACTTGATCATGATGTGTCTTCTGGGATAGTCAAAGAGATATTACAGTAGATAATTAAAACCACAAAAGTTTTGTGGTAGATATTATGATTATAAAACTCTTGACTCTATTTATAATAATGGAATGGAGATTGGGGATGGAAGGTGGGCCCAGAAGTAAAATCTCACTCATTAGTGGAGATTGCTAATAGCATATAAATTTAATGTATTTATGTACAGTACATGTAATTATTATGTGTTTATAATGTGTGATTGCTTGTTATGTGTGATGGGATTGTATTACGTGTTTGTATGAATGTCTTAGAGTTTTATGTGTGTGCAATATATGTACATGTATTCCTCTCTCTCTCTCTCTTTGAATAAATCATGCTCTTCGGAGTGATGATAAGATCAATATTAATCACGCTCTTCGGAGTGATGATAAGATCAATATTAATCACGCTCTTCGGAGTGATGATAAGATCGATATTAATCACGCTCTTCGGAGTGATAATAAGATCAATATTAATCACGCTCTTCGGAGTGATGATAAGATCAATATTAATCACGCTCTTCGGAGTGATGATAAGATCAATATTAATCACGCTCTTCGGAGTGATGATAAGATCAATATTAATCACGATCTTCGGAGTGATGATAAGATCAACTTATTTTGTGTATTATGTTTTATATGTACATATATGATGAGTTTGAGTTGTACTGTATAGCTAAGCAATGGACCTCAATTTGACATGCCTTTGTTAAACTAGTTCTTTTTTGTTTAATAAATAATAATAAATGTCATTAAAAATAATTATACTATAGTACAGAACTAAAAATATGGCTTAAAAATATGGTTTAAAATAATGATAATAATAATAATGTACATGTACAGTAGTAATAAATAAAATAAATAGGCCTATTTTTAACTTAATATCGATATCTAACTACGTCTATTACTATTATTTATAATATAACTAAGTATTTGCAGTAGCAGTTCCAATTCAGTAACTGTGGTGTCTCCTCTCCACTGGCTATGTTGGCTGTAAAATCCCCTCCCTCTTCCTTGTCCTCTTCCTCTCCATCTTCCACCACCATGACCTAGTCCTCGTCCACCTCCCCTGCCTCGTCCACCTCCCCTGCCTCGTCCACCTCCCCTGCCTCGTCCACCTCCCCTGCCTCGTCCACCTCCCCTGCCTCGTCCACCTCCCCTGCCTTGTCCACCTCCCCTGCTTCCTCCTCTAGATCTTCCACCTCCCCTGTTTTCTCCTCTTCCATCTCCCCTACCTTCTCCAACTCCCCTGCCTCTTCCCCATCCCTGGTGTGGCTCTACAGCTCCTCCGGCTCCATAAGCATTATCTCGGTCGTCATCACGTACACCAGATTCGTCCCCACCTACATCATTGTGATGACGACCCATGTCCACTTCACCTCCTCTTCCTGTATCTCCACCACCCCGGGGAGGAGAACCACCTTGACCACGAGGAGCAGGTGGCGGTGTCAAATTGGCAGAATTGCCATCTCTTTGTGGAGAATCCTCCATCTCATCCTGTACAAGTTAGGAAATGTAACATGAGAAGTAAGCTTTAATAGAAATACTTACATCCAAAAGGAGATCTATCTCTCTTTCCCCCAAACCTTCAGCCATTTTTATTAATATTGTGGCGCCAAAAATTAAAACATTATTATTATTAATAATTGATTATTATTATTACAGGACTAAAAGTACACCGTTACTATAAAGAGCAATAGACAGGTGAACTAAGGAGCAAAAGAGTGGAGAACAAAACCTTGTTTAGGGACAGTCCTGACACCCAAAATACAATTAATAAAAAAGTAGTAATTGTTTATTATTAATTAAAATAATTATTTTATCAAATGAAATTATATACAGTGATTGTATAGATTTAACAAATAATATTATTTTAATGATGTTTGTATGTGTATAATTGACATACATAATTTCATCACTCCGAAGAGCGAGATTCTATTGATCTTTTATCAACACTCAGAAGAGCGAGATTCTATTGATCTTTTATCAACACTCTGAAGAGTGAGATTCTATTGATCTTTTATCAACACTCCGAAGAGCGAGATTCTATTGATCTTTTATCATCACTCCGAAGAGCGAGATTCTATTGATCTTTTATCAACACTCAGAAGAGCGAGATTCTATTGATCTTTTATCAACACTCCGAAGAGCGAGATTCTATTGATCTTTTATCAACACTCCGAAGAGCGAGATTCTATTGATCTTTTATCAACACTCCGAAGAGCGAGATTCTATTGATCTTTTGTCATCACTCCGAAGAGCGAGATTCTATTGATCTTTTATCAACACTCTGAAGAGCGAGATTCTATTGATCTTTTATCAACACTCCGAAGAGCGAGATTCTATTGATCTTTTATCAACGATTCTATTGATCTTTTATCATCACTCCGAAGAGCGAGATTCTATTGATCTTTTATCAACACTCTGAAGAGTGAGATTCTATTGATCTTTTATCAACACTCCGAAGAGCGAGATTCTATTGATCTTTTATCATCACTCCGAAGAGCGAGATTCTATTGATCTTTTGTCATCACTCCAAAGAGAGAGACATTGTTCAGAGAGATAGAGAAAGAATATACATACGTACAAACACACACACACATACATATATTACTGGCACTTAATTACACTTATTTTATTATTCTTCTGTGACATTAGAGCAGACACTGCTATCAGTGCTTCTGAAAAGAGCTGCAACTTTGGCAATTTGTTCATGAGTTCCTCCTATAAACTTAAACCTGCAAGGTACCTCAAGACCACCTTGAACCAAATCACTGGAGTACCTTCTAGTACCCGTGACAAAACATTTTATTACTGTGCCAGATTTGTTTAAAAACAACCAGCATAGTCTTGATATTATTTTTGGGACATGTCCCACTATGGTACCTGACTTGCATACAGCCACAGCATAGCAGTCATGAAGATTGTTCCTTTGTGGGCTACACACCAGCTCCTCACCTATACAAGGCTCCCATATTTCTTTGTAAACATGAAGACCACGAATACAGCTAGATACTTCAACCATAGTGATTTTGGCAGCTGAGATAACTTCCCTCCTAATGTAAACACGTGGTCAATTGTCATAGCAACTATCTAACAGTTTCCATGGTATTTAATTGAACTTCTTTATTAGTTTTTATCACCGCGAATATTAGCAGCCGCGAATATAACCCGACCTACGGTATTCATTTTTAACTAAAATGGACTGATCTTCAAAAACATTTTTAATCCTAGCATAATTGAAGACTTTTATCCAACAAGACCAAATAACATGGAAGATGTATCTCTTTACGATTTTGTTGCTAATTACAAATTTCATAAAATAGAAAATGGAGAAAGAGAATACAAACTTCGATCAAAGCCAGTCCTTCCAAACCATAGGAAATTTAATCCTATGCAAGAAGCAGAAAGAGACAATTTTTATTACTCGCTAATATTTTTATTTGTGCCTTTTAGAGACGAGAGACACTCGTAATGGAAGGGGAAACAAAGGAAGAAGCTTTTAGGCGTCACAGAGAAGCATCTATACGTGGCATTGAAAATCATTTTAACAAACTGCAGAAATTATTAGAAGCTGAACGTAATTGAAAGAAAATAGTCGATGCAAGAAATAAAGCCGGTTTCACTGAAGAACTTCCTGATAACAAGGAAGATGATGAGCCTCAATTACTAGGTGAAATAATAGAAGCAGTGGCTGATATTGCTGACATGCACATAAATGTACCTAATTTAACATTAGAGCACAGAGAGGCAATGCTTAATGTAGATCAAAAAAGAATTTTTGATAATATTAAGAGTCATCTTATTAAGTCAAAAAGAACATGAAGACCTATTAGAGAATGAGTCTTCAAGACTACTTAGATTAGATAATATCAAACCTCTAAGAATTTTTATTAGTGGTGAAGGTGGAACTGGTAAATCTTTTTTAATAGAGGCAATAAAATGCTTAGTGGATGACATATGGCATCCAAAAAGTGGTGAAATTATGTGTGCTATAGTAGCACCAACAGGAATAGCCGCATTTAGTGTAGGCAGACTGACAATACATTGGTTATTTCAGCTACCAATAGAGCATGAGGGAAAAACAGCTGGATATTGAGCTTTGAATAAAGAAGCTCAGAAAAGGATAAAAATGACACTTAAAAATTTAAAAATTATAATAGTAGACGAGGTATTTATGGTATCCAATCTAAATCTAACATTCTTACACATGCTCATAGAAGATATATTTGGAACTGATGAATGGTTTGGATCCAAAAATATTTTATTTGTAGGTGACCTCTTACAATTGCCACCAGTTAATGGTAGGCCAGTATTTAATAAAATTAGCAACAAGCTAGTGAAAACTAGACTTGGAGCAGCAAATGCAGTTAACATATGGAAAGAAACAGTAGAATATGATAAACAATCAATGAGCGACAAAAAGGAGATGAAACTTTCTTTAAAATGCTTGATTCTGTAAGGCATGGCTGTTTGACTGATGAAACTATTGATACGCTTAGAAGTCGTGTATTTAATGTTTCAATACAAGAAAATTGTAAGGAATTGGAAAGTGAAGGAACAAATCCTCCAATTTGCCTATTTTTAAGATAGATGCCTGCCAAAAAATCAATGAATTAATGTTAGAAAATCTAGAAACTGAGAAAATAGAAATAGCATGTGTTGATGTTGTTGATGAAAGTGGCAGCAAAGCAAAATTTGACAAAAAACAAGAAAAAAAATTAGATAAACTAAAAGATTAATCAAGCAAAATGGCTGGTTTAGAAACAATTTTCTCTTTAGCATTAAGGCTGTAGAGTAATGCTAAGACGTAATATTGATGTGACTGTAGGATTAGTTAATGGTGTCATTGGTACAGTAATGGGTATTTACGCTACACGTATATTTGATCATATTGATGTACCTTGTGACATAGAAAGGGTTACATCTAGATTTATGCTATCTAAGAATTTGTATATACATAGGAAACAGTTTCCCCTCATACTTTTTTATGCTATTACTATACATAAATGTCAGGGCCTCTCACTAGATGCAGCCATAATTGATTTATCAACTGATGTTTTTGGGGATGGTATGGCATATGTTGCATTGTCTTGTGTACATACATTAAATGGTTTACATTTATTATCATTTGATCTTCTCTCTGTTGAAGTTAGTAATCCGTGCATTAATGAAATTAACAGACTGAGAACTAATTTTTGGAATGACTTACCTCAAATCAGGAAAGGTAAAGGAAAGAAGAGAAAGATTCAAGTGACTGGTATAATTGATGATGGTGAACCTTGTAGTAAGAATGCCAAGGTGTATGTAAGTCATGTACAAAGTACTAGTAAGAGTACTGTTAGTAGCAATAAACGTAACAGTACTGATTTACAAAAGTCTAATTGTCCTAAAATGAGTAAAGTATATAATGATAATGCTTTAAGTAAGCCTTGCCCCAAAAAAAGAAAAGTTGATATAGACAGTAGTACTGACAATACTGCTTTGGTATTGCCTCGCTCAAAAAAAAGATGATAAATTAATTGTGTCAATTAATTTAAAAGACCTAAAAACCAAATTTAATGACAAAGATGATGATAGTTTTAGTAGTCTGATTGTATCTTTAAAACTCTCAAACATTAAATGTAAACCAAAAGATGATAAAACCAAGTGTGTTGTAAAAAATGACCATTGTAGTAGTAGTCTCATTGTATCTATAAAACTCTCAAGCATTAAATTAAAGACGATTAATCTAAAAAAGATAATGTCATCATTACTTCTGAAGAGCCTCCCAACCCAGATATTGTGAGAAGGAGACAAAGGGATTATGTTTATTACCCTGGTAATGAAGAATTTCAAAGACGGTGGTGTGAGATTTTAAATCTCAAATTTGTCACAGCTGCTAGAATCTTACCTGGTAGTCCAACAACACCATTGTCAGATGAAAGAGTTCCTAATAGTACTCTTGATGTCTCTGGTGATGGGAACTGTTTATTTTATGCCCTTTCATATCTCATTACTGGGTCAATTTGTCAGCATTATGAATTACGTAAAGCAATTGTTAGTAATATGCCAAACTTTGAAGAAGTATTGTTTAATAGTACATTAAGTGCAACCAGATATTCAAGCATATATGATTACATAAATAAGTCCAAAATGTATAGAAATTATGTGTGGGCTACTGAGACAGAGATTATTACATTATCTGCAATATTAGGTACAACCATGTATTCATATTCACTTACTCCTACTTTTGTTGGCTGGGCTAGATATGGTACCCAGGAGTTATATGGCATTCCTTGTGATACTAGTACATCTGCTTTGTATTTGACGCATGTTGGTACTAATCATTTCCAAACAGTTAAGTCTATTAATATTTCTTAAGCATTGATTGTTGATGGAAAGTGGGTATGGTGAATGGGAGGTCCATCATCTTAAAAACATTGGTTTTTTGATGTGACTTGTATTTCACTGCATTTGCAATCTGAGTAATGTGTGTGTGTCTGAAAACCATTGGTGTATATCCATATAGTATTGCTCAGTATGAATTTAATCTAACTGCATGCATGAAGTGAGATAAATCAATGTATAATAGTAAATATTGAATACTTAATGCT